AAAATTTTGTCCGGCGTTGTCGTTGTCGTTGTCGTCGTCGTTAATAATTGTTATTGTGTGCATGATAACTTTACTAATTCTATTCCAAACTTCATCAAACTTGGTCACCTTGTTAGTCCCCGTTCGGACGCAGTCCGAAAACGGGGACTTATGTTTTGCCCTGTGTGCGTCCGTCCGTCCGTGCGTCCGTGATCACCTGTATCTGGAACATGCATGGACCGATTAAGTTCAAACTTCACTCATACATCACACATTATATGGGACATATGCACATGCATTTTTTTCATGATCCGATGAACGATAGCCGAATAGCGGCCATTTTAAGGCCGAAAATGCATCAAAATCGCACATTTTCACCATTCCGGACCCGGATCTCAGTTATGCATGGACGGATTTTGTTCAAATTTGGTACATACATTAAACATAATAGGACCTTGATGCACGTCATTTTTTTTTTTGGATCGGGTTCGAAATGGCCGACTGGCGGCCATTTTGTTTTAAAGAATTCAGTTCTGGATCCGTATCTGAGACATGCTTGGATTGATCGAAGTTCAAACTTCACACACACAAGGTACATCATGTCACAAATATGTATGTGCATTTGTTTCATGATCTCATTAACGATAGCCAAATGGCGGCCGCTTTAAGGCCGAAAATGCATTGAAATCGCACATTTTCACGATTCCGGACCCAGATCTCAGTTATGCATGGATGGATTTCATTCAAATTTGGTACATACATTAAACATAATAGGACCTTGATGCACGTCATTTTTTTTTTTCGGATCAAGTTCGAAATGACCGACTGGCGGCCATTTTCTTAAAGAATTCAGTTCTGGATCTGTATCCAAGACGTGTCTGGATTGATCAAGTTCAAACTTCACAGATCTCAGTCATGCATGGATGGATTTTGTTCAGATTTAGTACAATGTGTTGTACATATGCAGGTGCATTTCGGTCATGATCTGCTTTGAATGTATATGTCACTCAAATATGAACGGAACGGGGACGTGTCATTGACAATGACTTGTTGTTTTGTTTTCTGGCTGGTCATTATATATGCAGCACATACAGATCATCAACACAAAATGGCAGCAATGGTTGGCCATGGCTATGACCCCAAGATATACCTTGTTCAATTGTTGTATTTGGCACCTATCGAGTGGGACTCGCCTCCTGCTCAAATATAGTTATGATGAATGTTCCTTTAAGTGTAAGATTTTGATGGTGGTCATGTATTCACCATTTTTACCTTGTTATTGTTTTATTTAGGTTGTTGAAAAATGCCGTGATGAAGTTACTCAGTCCAATGCGCTCAGGTTGTTGTTATTATTGAAGTCCAGAAGTCTGGATTTAGCAGAAGAATTTCAGCAACTAGATGGTTATGGTCTCATTTATAAAGTACTCCTGTCTGACAGGTGCCATCTCGGATTTCATATGTTGAAGGTAAGATAAAAAACAAGGTTTTGGATCGGTCAAAATAAAACAATGATTTCAATTGGCTATGGTAAAACTGTCTATAAGTGTGCAACCAAGTTACCAATTGGCTGGTTTTAGTTAACGATTATAATTAGGTCAGAATAGACAATTGATTTTCATGATTTTCTAGGTTATGTTGGATGCCTGTTGTCATGACAACACTGTTCTGAAAGGATTTCACAACAAAGGTTATCAGATAAACCATGATACTCATGCTATTATCAAAGATAAACAACTTGTGAGTGATCTGTTGTTATCCTGGAGAATATGGTATAACACCGACGTTGATGTGTGGGCGTCATTGCTAGATGCTTTTACAACATTGTTATCAGATGACCATCCATATTGTGACTTCAACATGAAACAGTTACAATGTGCAAAAGCAGTGGATAAAATGTTACTTACTTGTAAGGTAGGTAATCAATTCTTTCTTCTCATTTATGACAATAGACCATTTTCTGCTCACTATAAGATGCTGCATTATGTGTGAAATCAAACGTAAAACAGAACAAAGTTCATAGCATCATTGTGGCACCAAGACATTGCTTGGGATTGACAATTGCAAAAATATTTGTGTGGGTATTTCTCTGTTAAATGATATGCTATACACAATTTTGATAAAGTAAAGGTATCTCAATGCTATATTCCATAGTGTTATTGAATAAAGAGGTTCTATGACATCTATAGGTACTATATGTATGAGAAAAATGTTCAATAAATGTTTGGTAATGGTGGATGTATTCCTATTTTTTTTTTATTTTTCTTTTGAACATAGGAGATACAGAGTGAGGGACTGACTCCACCACCGATTAGTATCGCCAAGTGTTTTGTTGCAATAATTCAATCTATGTTAGGAAGTCCACCTGATCTTGATACCATTATAGCAGTGTGTGACTTTCTATTGGTTGTACATCCAGCTGTCAATACTTTTGTATGTCACGCTCCATCAAGTTTCTATTTCACACAACATACAGGTGTGTGTAACCACTCTAAGTACTCATTCAGACTTGTTCCTTGTATGGCAATGTGTCCGCCTTTTGATTGTGAACCCTTAATAAGTTTAAACACAGCAACGTCGTTGGTTATTAAAGATGTATGAAAACCAATTTTGCTTATCATATTCATATTGCCTACTCTCGGTGGTAGAGCTATGTCATAGAATGTTCCATGTTGCTTGGACATGCGTCACTACAGGCTTTGTGTAAGCTGCTGTTAAATGCTGGTTGAAGAGCTAGTGAAAACAGCAGAAACTCAAACTTGAGGTACCGATAATCCTGAATAACCAAATTTATATATGTTGCACATGTAGGAGTAATCTTGTTACATTGTTCAGGAGAGTCTCAACAACTTGTCCAATGTACAGTTTTCAGCTTTCATCGATGGTTGCCAGGGCAGTGAAAATGCCTGGATGTCACCCCGAGTATACTTGTCTTATTAATGCTTCCCCTGTATTTTAACTTACATATCCTCTAATTGTATCTTGTATTAAACTTTTAAACTTATTTTTTTCTGTGAACATTGGAAGGTCCACAACAAGAGTACAAACAAAGACTTATCCAGTCCACGACATCATCCGCTGTTAATAGTCCAGGTGGCAGTATCGCCGATAGACATTCTCCCAAGGACTTATCAGGATCACCGTTTGTCACTAGTACACCTATAAAGGCTGTGAACAGATTACGACATCCATCAATACCTGAAGAATGTGAACTAAGAGGTAGTGATCCAGGTATGTCAGCTGCATATGTGATCATGCTATATACTCTGGGTTGATCCCTGTATGTGGTGAAAGGATATTATTAGGCATTTGTATGTAATCCATGTTTGTGATTTTGGTATTAATGATCCAGGTAGGTGATCCTTTATGTGATCCAGGTAGGTGATCCTTTATGTGATCCAGGTAGGTGATCCAGATTTGTGTTCCTTGTAGTGATCCAGATTTGTGATCCTTGTAGTGATCCAGATTTGTGTTCCTTGTAGTGATCCAGATTTGTGATCCTTGTAGTGATTCAGTTTTGTGATCCAGGTAGGTGATCCTTGTAGTGATTTAGGTAGTCATCCAGATTTTTGATCTGTGTACATGTGATCCTAGGTATAAAAATATTGCTCAAACTTTGTAATCAATCTGATAACATAGACATTGCATTTGACGAGTGTTCCTCCAAAAACCTTGATGCATGTCATTTTGTTTTTCGGATCAGTTTTAAAATGGCTGACTGGTGGCCATTTTGTTTTAATGAATGTGGTTCTGGAGCTGTATCTTTGAAATACTTTGAACGATCATGTACATTGTTTTCCAGGTATGATAAATCCAAGAGATATTTGCATGGTAACCAAAAGCCACAGTTGTCCTGAAAACAATGAAGCTAGAAGGAAAATAAACTGGCAAACTTGTGATGTAGTTGAAAACAATAGAGATGATATGACAGACTTGTACAATGATGTGTCACCGAGTATTAAGTTCTATGTTGGAACTGAAGTATCAGAGGGCAGTGGTATTGATGTAGGTGTGGGCAAAATAGAGTGTGCAGATGATAAATCTATGTTTAAAGACTCTCCATTAGTCAGTGTGGAACTGAACATTGATGAGAAGTTCCAACAATCTTGTGGGATTACTGAAGTGGTTCCTTGTTGCCATGGAGATAAAAGTGATTCAGAGACGAACGGAAGCTCAACATTGCATGGTGTGTCAACTGGTAGCACTGTGAAAGGAGATGATACACTTGTAGATGGGAGAGGAGTATCACCATCAACAATGCAGTGTAAATTTCAACTTGATGGTAGGTAGTAATTCATCTAACCTTTACTGTAGCGCATAAACCCTTCATAATTTGTGTTTTCATTTTGTCTTACCCTGTATATTGACATTTTGTAGTTTTGGTGACATTTCCATCAGATGAAAATGACCCAGATTCGTATCTTGTGCTTCCGGAGATGGAAACCATGTCAGTATCACAGTTAACAGACCCTGACAGGTTGAGTGTAACGCAAGACAGTTTCTTCCCGCTACAAGAAGATGGTTTAGATATTATGTGTACAGGACTACTAAAGCTGTTGGCTGGTCTGGTGTTGACGTTGCCCGATAACATGGTTTCCAAAGTGATTGGACATGTGATACTGCCTTTTAATCTCATTGTTCTATCCCACCATACTTCAGCAGACATCAGAACTGCCATTGTTAAGGTTAGTAGAGTGCTACAGATTTACCTCATTATTATCATTATCATATTAACATTTTCAGTGCAAATATTCTTGGATTTATTGTTGACCTTCATTTAGAGTCCAATATACAGATTTTAATGAATAAGTACTGAGAAATAATTATACCGGTAAACTGCTAGTATCTGCTGACATAAAAAGTGAAGCAAGTAAATAACATTAAATAAACTGCATGGTAAATACATGTCAAAACAAAGTAAACATGCACATGTACAAAATGCATGTCACCTAATCACCTAGCTTCCCATCACAGCACATTTTCCACTCAGGCACAGAGCATCCCCAAAATAGGATGTTTACCTTGCCCGTACCATCAAAGATGGAAGGGAAAGGTATATTAAGGG